AACACTGCTACACTAAGTATAGGATGCTGGAATCCCAAACAGCATCTTAGCTTGTACACCAAATGTCTGCCCCTATTTTAAACCACACATTTTAGACTTTTTTTTCAGCGACACTCTTGGGTTTCCAGCAGATAACTTACGAAAATCTATTTTGGATTTATACTAACATATTTCCAAAATGTTTATGCTTTGACTTGGTTGTATTATTTGCCAGTTTTGTGTCTTAGATAAAACACTTTTCTTCTGTTTCTGAGACTTGGCCTGTGATACTAGGTACCTTATTAGCAAACCCAGAGATTTTCAAACTTTTGAACAATGCAAAAGCCACACACTCTGAAATTTGTCAAGTTTTAAAACATAATTTGCATCACAAAAAGCAGAATCTTTATATTTGCTCATGAACAAGGTTATGTATACAAAATTCTGAGCACTGTACCAAAGGAGATATGATTTGGATTATTAGTTCAGTAATTATTAGAATCAATGGAGGGAATTGCTAACTGTTAATTTGAGTAGTTTATTTAGTCTCTTTGTATTTGATTTTTCTCAAGAATAAAATAAGAACAAGGTGTTGCTATTTCATTAAATATGGTAAATAAATACAGGTAAAATCTAATGTATTGCTGTTAATACAATTTTGGGGGCATTTTCCTATTATTGTTATTATTATTATTACTATTATGACTTTCAAAAATATTTTACCTTCTATCAGGTGTTTAAAGTTGCTGAACTATTTCAAAGTTCTTTGCTTAAAAGTTTGCTTTGTCAGTCCTTACTCTAGCAGTGAAAATGCGTTGTTTGAATGTATTTAGTGAGAAAGAAAACCCAGTTGACTATTAAATAGGTAAGAGCTGAAGGTGAATTAATAAACTAAAAGTCTTCCAAGGATTGTGCTTGAAGACATTTTTATTCTACCATTTATTTATTTAATTTTCATTTTATTTGCAAGATGGAGTAAGAGAGAGAGAGAGAGAGAGAGAGAGAGAGAGAGAAACAGATACCAACAGATTTTCCATCCACTGGTTCACTTTCCCAAATGTCAGCAATGTCTACTGCTGGGGCCAAAGGTGTAAGGTAGAAATTCAATCTAGGTCTCTCATGTAGGTGGCAGGCACCCAATCAGTTAAGCCACCACGTGCTGCTTCCCAAGTATGCACATTACCAGGAAGCTGGAATCAGAAGCAGGTCTGGGCACTGAGCCCCAGTATTCACATATGGAATGCCAACACCTCAAGCAGGGACTTAACTACTGTACCACAACTTGCATCTTTTTATTGCCCTTTCTGAGATGCACTGTCTTAAATGAACTGGTTAGGGACCTCATCTTGTGATCCTTTTTTCCTAGGAAGCAAAAGAAGACTATGAAAAAAAAGGGTTGCAAGATTCCAAATGTCAACCTTCATTTTTAATGTTTATCTTTTTTTTATTTTTATCTACTTGGAAAGCTGAGAATGAAAGTGAGAGAAAAAGATAGATAGATAGAGAGATCTTTTATCTACTGGTTCACTCTCAAAATTCCAGTAAAGTCAGGGCTAAGCCAGCATCCTAGAAATCTAGGGTTTCTTACATGGACCGTGATGGTCCAAGTACTTGAATCATCATCCGGTGCCTCCTAAGGTGCCTTTGCAGGAAGGGAAGTGGAGTATGGGAAATGGAGTAGCCAGCATCCAAACTGGCTTTAAAAAAATGCTTTAAGGCTTCTACCAATCAATTCAAATTTAGTGATTAATCAGCTCCTGTTTCCTTGAATACTGCCTAGTTTTACAGGGGTACTGTGCTCATTTAGGGGTCATGAGTTACCAAAGCTCATAGCTAATCCATAAACACGGATAAAATCCTTTGGTTCCATTCATACTGTTTCTAGGGAAAGTAGCACAGTGTTGACCTACCAGTGCTTAGGAGTAATTTGCCCAGTCCCTTGATACTGCTGGCAGAAGAAAACAAAAGTCAGTTTGGGTTTGGAGTGTGAGGTTCCAAGCTTCTGGCTGCTCTTACTCTTATATGTAAACTCCCAGTTGTGAGTCATAGTTCAGGTACTCTGTTTTTAAACAAATAAAAATGAAATGGATATTGCTCCCAACTGTCCTGAATGTAGTTTTTCAGTTACATGTTTGTCCCCTCCCCTCTTGCCCCAGTAGCACAGATACTGACAACTCAATAAGGGCCTTTTACGGGGCATTTTGGGTTAAGCAGTATGGCTATAAATTGGGTAGTTGGAAAACATCTTGGAAAAAATTTTATTTTTTCCTTCCACCTTCCAAAGAACTAGAAGATTTGCAATGAGGACTGATTGGAAGGGAAATGGGGGTTATGTGGACAACCAGAGTATTTTCTTGCCCATAGGACCTCCTTTCTTTATGTGTGTGTGCCCTTCAGCCTAAAATAACACCTTGATGTGGATTTGTGTGCAAATGGATAAAATAGCACATGCTTTCAGCTTTGAAGCTAAAAAAAAAAAAACCAATTCCTTGTTTTGATTGGACTATAAGGATGGTCAGGGAAAAGGATTTTTATAAACACCATTAATATCAAGTATGAATTCATCATATTTGAATCATGTTATATTAGACTTTATAGTTAGGATACACATAATCAAATGATCACACACACATTACATGACCATATCAACTTAAGCACAGAAAATTAATCATTGATGAATGTGAGAAAGAAGATCTTCTGTTATAGAACGCATAACGAGTGAGATGAACTAAACTAGGGGTTAAGAAGTGGTTCCCTGCAGGCCTGATTGCTGGGATAGAGTTTGAAGCAACAGCAAGAACTGGTGAAAGGGTCATTAGACAGGAGAGTATTCTGGGCAGAGGGAATCACAATTGGAAATGTGCATGGTGTGAGGAATCACATCTCATTCTAGGCTCTGAAATATGGTCAGTGAAGTGAATGCTCGGAGGCAGAGTGTGCAAAATGGTCTGTAACTTCAGTGGCATGATAAAAATTCTGGGATGGAGGAATTTGTGAAATTAATTACTTGAGTGCTTGAGTATCACAGAGAAAAATGAAGATAAAGGAATGAGAAGATTGACAGATGTCCATCCATGGAGGAAAATGATAGTCGTAAGCACAGTAAGCATGAATATGAAGTTAACTCTTCAATCATTATGAAGCTTTATGTTGCTACAGCAGAGTACTCATGCTTAAAGGCTTTTTCTTACTCTTCCTTCCTTCACAAATCACTTCGTCTCACTTCGTATCTTCTTAATGTGATCACTTGGCTCAAGCCACCTAGAAAACGATCCACCTCCCTTCTTGGTTTATTTAAACTCTAATAATCTACCAAGGTTCAGCTCAGATTCTGCTTCTTCAGGGAAGCCCTCCCAGCTCTATACACAGGATTTTATCCCCATTCTCTGACCCGCTGTAGACTATAGCCCTCACACTCAATATAAGGGATTCCGTGTTTTTCAGAGTTTGTTTTATTTATGTCACCGTTTTGAGTCTCTGTGGCCTCCGCTGGACTTTGAAGTTCCGTCGGAAACTGACTTTATCTTTCTTTTTGTGGATCCACAAATGGGACAAGGAGTGTTCTAGAGTCCTGAATAGGTAACAGACCATTTTGAAAGGTCATGTACGAAGATACCAGAGAGGGCTAGAAATTGGCATATCTGTGACAAGCAGAGAAGAGATCAGAAAGGCAGAGGCTGGCGAGCAGAGGTGGGGGAGGGGAAGCATCAGAGAAAGTGATTTTTTTTAAAGAGTCAGTGAGGAGTAATAAGGCTAGTGTCAGCTTCACACTGACTTGTTTACTGGCCTTGACTGTTAGTGAGAACAGCCACAATAGAGCAGCAGAGAGGAAGAATAAATAAACATGCAACATGTTCTTATTTGGGAGGCAGCTTAATTATGCATATTGACGTTTTAACACAGAGGTTCCCTCAAGTCCCCAGAGACCTGCCTAGAGAAAGAAAGCACCTTATTCCTGGCCAGAGAGTTTCATTCCAGGGAAGGGGGAGGGGTTGCTGGTGATGTTAGCAGTGGGTGGGGGTAGTGGAGAGCCCTGGTGGGGGTTGGCTGGGGGAGGGAACGGATGGGCTAGCCATGAAGTTACAGATAGAAGAGTGTTGCTGCATCAAGTTCAGATCAGGGAGCAGCGAACAGTGGGAAAAAATAGGGAAGAAGAAGAATGACAGAAGAATGACAGTGTGGGTGACCCCAGAAGTTAACCTATAGGAAAGGAACTTTCCCAGGGCAAGGAAGGGGGTACCGTTCAAGATAACACCCTATCACAAACAGATTGATTCTGTGCTATTTATTCTGGGTTTTGGTAAACTTCTGGAAATTTCGTAGTAATTAGACTTCCTGCCAGGCACTTATTTAAGGAAAGGGTAGACCCCTGCTTCTGCTTTTAGCCTGAGTCCCTGGAAGGTAGAGGCTGAGGCTCAGGGATCCCAGCACTTCTTCGGCTGAGGGAGCTTCATAGGCTAAAGTGAGTATGATACTGAGTGTTATTTTCTTTTATTTTTGTACTGGTGGGAATTTTGATTTTGCAGAGTATAACAGAAATGTAATCATGGCACCTTTCACTTTTTTTTTTCTTTTCCCTAGCTGCTACTTTTTATTACCAATATTATTTTCTGTGATTTTTTTTTTAAAGTAGGAGCAAACTTGGGTTGTTCCTGTCACCGTCCTCCCAGTTTTCAGTTTTGTCTCCTCCTCCTCCTCATTAGAATTGTAAGAGAGTGGCAGTCCTGCAGCAAAGACAGGCACCCAGGCTTTCTCTGTGGATAAATTGGTCGGGAAAGACACTTTTTTATATTGTCAAGTGGCACTTAAGCCACTAATTCTTGACTGTGAAACTGCTTTTCCTGGGCAATGCTCTTTAAGGAAAAATTTCTTCAGTCCAGTGATTGGTGACTAAGGGAACCATGGAGCACAGGGGATTGGGCGGGATCTCGGCTCCTAATAATGCCTCCTTATCCAATGAAAAGCATTTCCTATTGAGACCCCCAAGAGTTCCCCGGGCCTTCGCTCCAGCCCGGACTTTGGGCCTTTTCTTGTGTCCTGTTTGTTAAAGGCATGCCGGCTTCAGCATTCAAGAAGGCCAGTCTTTAACAAAGGGAAAGAGATCAGTGTAAAGAAGCTCACATTTGCAGAATGAGCGGTTTGCAGTAAGAAGCTGCGGCAGCCCAGAGTCTGTTACTTTGGGCTGGGCTAACCTTTCCCTGTTTAAAAAAAAAAAATGGATAAAAATATGCACTTCCAAAGTGCGAGTTGCCCGTTTACATGTTTGCTAGCTAATTGTCTGCAGGCATGAGCACACTCTCTCATCTAGCACACTGTTTCTTGGGGTAAGTCTCTTTTGAGAAAGATTCGATTTGGGCGTTTGGGGGTGGGGGGATGGCGTAACAAACTTCACTGGAAACACTGGTGCTGTGAGTGTTTTGGGGAAAGACGTTAGACTTCAACTCTGAAGTGCTGAACAAAGATCGTCGTGTTGAATGGTAAAAAACAAGAGTTTCTATTGTTTTGACAGTAATGCTGTTTCTGTGGAAGAGAGATGCAGGATTTTCAGGCTGTTTTTTTTTTTTTTTTTTTTTTTTTTTTTTTTTTTTTTTCATGTAAACACAGTTGTCCTAAAAAGCCGATTTAAAATCACAGGGTAGAACAATTTAGAAACTCTTTTGGCTAGCTTTATATTTCTTTGGTTTACAATTGATTGTGAGGTAACGTGGCTTCTATTATGATGAGGTTTCTTTTAGTAAAACTATACACGACATGCCTTTGATGCTTAATTGATTTATGAAGAATGTGACATTTGCTATATTGAATAATTCATGAACTTGCCCTTAAAGGAAGAATCATGTTTGAATGAAAAACTAATTCTGGCATAAACTGAATTTGCTTTTATATGTGAAATTAAATGCTTTTTGACATACAAATGTAACAATATGGCATCCTTAAAATTATCTCATTGTATATACAAATATTTTAATATCTTCGGTAAGAAGATCTTGTTGAATGGAGAAAAAGCATGTTTCTAGATACTTTAACGGAGTTTTTAGAGTAATTCATCATTATTTTGTGTGGGAAAAGACCAGATAAGTGCAAATATTAGCATATTTTAGAGCTTTGTGTGGTTATTCATTTTGCTGTATTACCAAATCATAGCATTTTTCTTTTTGCCTTGACTAACATGAAAATAGCAGTTAATAATCAACAACCCAAATTATCCAGTTGTTTTGCCACATGTTGACTTTTTAAGAACAAAATTTCAAACACTGTTTTAACCTTTCGACATAGATGTTTTTAAATCCTTTCGCCTAATTGCAGATGGACTCTGCGATACAGTCTTGTTCAGAAGGATGAGTTCAGCTGATAAAATTGGTGGGATCTACATTCTAAAGCATCTCCTGCCAATCAGAGATGCGAACGAGAGCACTATTGGAACAATCAGGCGGGCCTTTCAGAATGTGTAGTCTTTGTAAGTTAAAAAGAGAACTGAGAAGATAACTCACAGCCATACTCAGGCCAACCTTAGCTAAAGTTTGATCTATTCAATTCCTTTGGAGGGGAAAAGCAGTGAGATGTGTTGTCCTCACTGTGGTTTGGTTAGAGCCTGATTGTATAGTTACCTTTTGTTTGTATGTAGAGTCATCAGATAGAGTCTATCTTGGTCCCCTTCCCTTTCAGGGAAGAAAAAGAGTCATCATGCATTTAATGAAGTGAATATTGTTACAGAAAATTGGAATCTTGATAGGAGGCCATTCATTACCAGGAATCAGCCTCATTTTTAGAAGAGAAATAATGGGTTATGAGAATAATATATAGAATGAGTAGTTTGCTGATTACATGTGACTGTGTTCAGAAGTATGCAAATAACCTCATATTTTGAGGACAGAAAGACAGAATGTGAGGAAAATGAGCCCATCTGTATGACTGTTGGCTATAAATGACATCCTGCTTTGTGATTGTTGCCTTTTGATGCCTATTGATTGTATTCTTTTTTCAGATAAATCTAGCAATCATTTTGTGGAAGCTAATAAAAATTAATGGCCCTCACTGCAGACTTTGAGGGATTAAAGGAAAAAAAAAATTTTGAGGTGACAGATGGGAGCAGGTGACAGTAACTGACAGGAGGGAACAGCCAGTGAAGCCATCACCATGGCACCAGTTGAAGGCTCCTGTCATTTAGAGTCAAAGGTAGAAGAGAAACTGAAACCTACAAAATACTGTGATTTGCTGTCTCAAAGTTGGATAGTGGTGGGGCTAGATATGATTACACTGATTAATGCTAGATATGAAAATTTCTAGGTCTTTGAAGTTCCTGGTTTGCTTGGATTACAAATGAAAAGGTCTTCTATATAATCTGTAATAAAAGAAAATATGTTAATCTTTTCTATTTTCCTTTTAGATAAACCAATAAAATGATATTCATTTCATTCCAGGAATACTGGTCTCTGGAGGAGTGTGAAAATACATTCTCCTTAATTTTAAGGTGATCTCAACATATTTTAAATTGTCTAGTGGTTTTTTTCATATGTGTTACTTTGGAATAGAGAAAGATCATTTCAAAAAGTTGGAGTATTATGTAGCAGTATGCATTGTTGTAGACTACTTGTGCTCAAACGAGGGTTAAGTGTGACAGGAGTACTAAGTTGGTCACTAACATGCTTTCTTTATAAACAGAGGTATTGCAGTGAGTAGCCAGCCCTATTTGCATGAACCACACTGCGGAGTATTTCTAGCTATAGAGAAGTATTTTGTGCAAAGATGTGATTTGAAACTATTACAGACAGGACTATATTGAGTGGGCCTAAGAATATTTCCTGGTAAAAGCATAATGATTGTCAGTCAGTGCGTTAATACCTAGTTATTGAAGCCTTCCTTAGGTTACTGTAGTTGGGGGTGGGGTGGGGAAAGGAAATCAGACATGGGTGCAGGTTAGAGTTCCAACTTGTTGTTCCAGCCTTCTTTCCTCTTCCCCAACCAAGGTCCCAGTCTAATAGCAACTGCTGTTGCCAGGGAAAAGGAAAAGAAAAAACAAAGAACAAATGTTACTGCAGGCCCCCAAAGAAGTCTCCTTTGTTCAGTTATTTTTAATGTCATGCATTACCTTATGGGAGTGGGGGAAATATCATATGCCCTTTGTCACCAGTTCCTTTAAAAGATAAGTTACACAGGCTCATTGACTATAGTCATATACACTTTAGTAAATACCATTAATAAAATAAGAAACAGTAGTGATAGGATCACTGGACTCAGTCGGCCTCTTTTTTTTTTTTTTTAACCTTGGTTTCACCAACTTATAGAAATATGGGAGTGTAATCTTCTCATTTTTCTTTCCCATTTACTTTTCATCAGGAAGGTAGTCAATGATAGAAGATAAGAATTTAGAAACTAAGAAATAAAATGAGATGGTTATCCAAGTAGTCTCTTCTGCAAACTCCATCAGTATGGAAAAGGAGTTGTCAGAAAGCAGGAGTGATCTTCACTTGCTAATTAACATGCCACCACATTCTATTATCTCATCATTCACTGGACAAACATATTGCTGTCCAACATCACAAAGAAATGTTATAGTCTATGTGCTTATTTTAAAAAATCATAATTGATATATTGTGTATAGAGTAGGTACTCGACAGTTTTTGAACATGAATGTTCTAAAAAAATAAACTAATGTATGCAATTCCGAAATAATCAAATCCAAAGCATTCAAATAGCATTTAAAAACATGCTGGCTCAAAGTTACTCTGACATATCATGTAATAGTATTCTCTGACTTAAAATTTTTGCATATATTTTATTTAAAAAGCTTTCTTTATGGCCCACTATTGTGTCCCATACTATCTCACAGCACCCATTGAAGGAAATCTTTAATCAGAGTGCCTCCAGAAAGTTCAATGGTTATTCAAGTCTCGGATAAAGTTGATACCAGAATTTGGTTTGAACTAATGTGGTGAGTACCACTCTCCTGCTAGTAACTTCCTGTATAAATCCTTAATTTTATTCTTCATCTTTTTTTAAGCAGCATATGCATTTCCAAATAATTACAAATTGTATGATCCAAGGATCTGGAATTGATGGAGGAGCTGTAATTGTGCATTCTATTCCAGATAATTTTGGCCTATAAAAATTTGGATGCTTTGCATCAGCTCCTCTGTGTCATTGGCATATACATATAGAGAGGGAATACATGGTTTTTATTCATGTAATTAGGACCAGTGTGCCAGAACATAATAGAGTTGGTTTCCAAATTGATAAATAAATTTATGGAATAAAGATAATTTCCTACTTGGCGAGCGTGCACTTTGCAAAAATTTGGAACTGACCCCTTTTAGGAACACCCAAAAGTTTTCTCAAAAGGTCTAGGGCTTTTGCTGAGATGAGATATTGAGTCTCAAGGCTCTAGACAATTTCATAATATTAGGTTGAGCAATTTCTCTTCAGTTTTCTTACTCTATAACGAAGTGCTAGGGAAAATTGTACTTTAGTACGACTGATGCAATCTTTGGCTCCATCATGTTGAACCCAGACCACATTATTTCTTAAATATTGGACTGTATCATTAGGTGAAGGGTTAGTGAGACTGGAATATTTTTCTTTTCTTTTTTGCAGAAAGCAAAAAAGAGTCAAGTTAATCACTGAGGATCAGATCTGGTCAGATTGAGACGTGCCAGTTCCCTGCTGTCACCAAATAAAATGACATGATACAGTCATAACAGTGAAAACCATATTCAACAGAGATGTCACTTTAAAAAATACGTCTTCTATCAAAAATAGAAGAGGCTAATAAAAAATCAGCTTCCCAGTTCCATTCTGGAGTGAAGTGCTTACCCCATTTGTGGAGCAAGAGTCTGGAAATGCTCCCTGTTACTATGTTTCCATCACCTTTGTGTATTTTTAAATTCACTTTACTGCTAGGTGTGTATATCTAAGTATGTGACAGGTTTCAGCTTCTTCTGGAAACTGTTGTGTCCACTTTGATAAGCTTTGAGGATCAGCAGGATTCTGACAGAGAGAGCTTGAGTGTTCTCTGCCTCCAAGGTCTTTGCTCCCTAAGTTCTGGACTGTCTTCTGTAGAGAACTGAAGCAAGGTAGCCTTTCTAGAGCACTGAGCATGTGCTAGAAGTTAATAGATGTCTTTTCCATGTGTCATCTAAAGTTTTAGCATTTCATGAATTGAAGTGTTTTAATATTTATTATTATAGGTCCAAAAGGTGTATGCACTTTCCTTTAGGAGCTCCCAAAGTCCCCTAAATATGATATACTTCATTATTGTTGGGAATAAGTGAAAGAATAAAAAAGGAAATAAGCTGTGATCATTACCAAGAATTGATTCCATATGTATAGATCAAAATGAAAAATTCATTGAAGTTTGGATTTTTTTGAGGGGGTGGGGTTTGTTTTGTTTTTGGTCAACCTGCAGGTTGACTTCTTCTTTCCCATTGTCAGTGAAACTACATCTTTGGAACAATCCTGCTTCCGGGTGATTAAGAGTCTTTGAAAGATAATAATCTAAGGCTATTTGTGGTAGTAGATATAATGAACTGCATTGGTCTATTTTTTTTTTCCTTCTTTGTCTCATCTGAAGCTTATGTGTTGATTCTTTGCTCCATGCACTATGTCATAGGCATTTAGGAAGATCTAGTGGCTAGACACGGTTCAATGTAGTCAAAACCAAGTAAGCCATTCTATTTCTGGAATATCATTGATTCTCTTTTAGAGTGGGCCCAAGGACCAACTGCTTCTCTGACCTTTTAAAATCATGGTTGATGGAAGATAGTCCTTTGGAGACTATTTTTCTCTTTGGGGAAACCTTCCTAGATTATCCCGTTCTAAGCAAATTATGTAGTTAAGATTGGGTCTCTAGAAGGTGCTTTTCTGAGGTACAAAATGCACTTAGTATTAGGGGAAAGACAAATTGCTAGTATAAAGTTCAGGGTGCCAAGAAAGAGAGGCATAAATTTCCAGTTGTGTCAGAGGAGAGAGAAGGAAACAAGCTTCTATAATGTTTCTCTGTGGCCAGGTAGGACTGCATGCTGGCAAACTCATAAAGTTACTCACAAGCCTCATTGAATCTTCCTAGTGTCAACTCTGAGGCTCAGAGGTAATGTTTATACAGGGAAGAGAAGCAGTATAGCCAAGTTACAGAGTGAAAGAGTGTCTGAGTCAGAAATAGAACTCCTTGCTTCCAATGCTGTGTTAAGTCCCAGCACCACACCCTCACTGCTAGACAGCAAAGGTGGTGTGTATTTGAGCAAGGGGGAGCTATGAATAGGGCCATAGTGGCAGTTTTCCCATGCCCTCTCTTCAGGATTGAGACTGTGCTTTCTTGTCTGAGGTACTTTCTCTCCCATAGGATTTGATTACTCAAAACAGCACAGCGCAAGTGCCAGGCATTTGCAAACTGCCAGCTATGGATATAATATATATGCTCTGGGGGAACTGAAAAATGAAGTGAGACAACGTACGTGGACATACACATATATCAATTAATTTGCTATAATGATTGTTCATTATATACATATATCAAAACATTACATTGCACTCTATGAGTATGACTTATCAATTAAAAGTAATACAAATTTAAAAATAAAATAATGGAAATAAAAGACTCAGATAGTGCACCTATTTCAGAGGGATAGTTCTTTTGTCTTGAGTTCTTTCAAGACTGTGAACGATGAACTGAGAGTTAAAGAATTTGGGATTAATAGACAGTATATGGGTTGTCAATACTATTCATATAAAGTGGTTTAAGTTGTGAAAAAGTTTGACATTCATTTTTTTTCCCCTGCCATCCCACTGATGCAACAAATAATGGTTGAATCAACTGCTCCCAAAGTGAGTTATGAATAATGTTAGGTGTGATTTTCTAGACTCCTCTTCCTCTCTAGGCTTCAGTGAACTTAAACAGTAATAACATACTGGTCTTCTGTCTGATACAACCAAATGGAGTAATACCAAGCCAGGTAGAGAAGATGTGATCCCAGGAAGTATGAGCAGGAAATCCATCCACTGACTCTGAATGTTAATTAAATAGCCATAATGGTCCCTAACCAGCAAGGTCTTTACCTCCTCTTTCCTGCTTTCTTCCTTATCTAGGTTTTTATTTCTCGGCTTCTTTAGTTTCCATTTCCTCTTCCACTCCCTTCATTTATTTTAGTTTTTTTTTTCTGTGTCTGGCTCTTTCTTCCTTCCTGGACCTTAACTTGGTCATAGTCTCCTTTTGTATATCAAGATTGCATGTGGAAAATGGTGAGATAGATGTATTTAACAGGAATGTCACGAAAGAATGTGAGCTGAGTGCAATGTTAGGCTTAGAAAATTACTTCATAAAGGTTATGTTGAGTGAGAATTCAGGGATAACAGGTTTCCAATTATAACTTGAAAACTATGAAAATTGACACTCCTTCACATTGCTTTGTATGTTCTTCATGGTCACCACTCCCTGTAGGCACTGCAATGAGTAGAATTTTTTTCCCTCAAACTAAACAGTTATTTATCAAGCTAAACATTTTATCAAAGTGACGTTAAGTGTCTGTTTCTGGCATGTTCTCTCCTCCACTCTTATGAATATTCTATATGACTAGGACCTATTTTGTGGGAGTTGAAGGAAAGAATCACTTCATCAAAGTGACTTTTTCATCATAAAGCATAATCATGTGAAAATGCAGTATTAGATAAAGCAATGGACAAAGACCTCTTTCACCCTGTATCCTCCTCATTCAAAAGAATTCATCAGCAGTTTCATATCCAAGTGTATTATGGAGCATGTTCAAATGATATGCAAAATCAGTGGTAGCTATTGCTCTTGGAGAAAGTTTGTAAAATTCTACGCATGCAATCAGACATTGTTAACCTAGATAACCAACAAAGATGATAAAGTCAGTGACTGCTCTATGTACCAGCTGTGTCAAGCAGAGTGCATATTAGCGTACAGATCAGAAATGTACATTAGTTAAAGACTGTATTCATCAGGACTATCTTACGGCACAAAAGGCATAGAAATGTCTGATGGGGAAAATAGTGGGAGAGGATGAAGGAAGCTATCTCAGATTTAGGATCTAACATGGGAGAAAGTTGGAAAGGTACTACAACCCTCAGGAGAAAACACTGAGATTTTTATTTCAACTATTGTTAGAAAGGCAATGTGATAACAGACAAAAGCCCCCATTAGCTAGAAACTCATTAATCAGATGATGCCTACCATCTAAATTCCTATTTCAGAAGAGATTGTTTGAAACTTTAGTAAAAATATTTCTACAGCGTGCCTGGGAAGTCCTGTATTCAATGCTTTATGTAATGAAAAGAAGACAAATAGGGAAGACAATTCAGAGTGGCTTTAAAATACATAGATTAGGAATTTTAAAAACCCTTAATTCTGGTTCTAACTATGTCTTTTACAGTATTTTAAATTCTGATATGCTTTAGTTCTGAATTACTTAGACTTCACTTTCTACTTTGGAAAATAATGATAATTCTCTTATGCCCATCTTATGGTGTTATTGTAAGAATCAAATAATGCAAAAAGAAAAGATTCTGGAAATGAGAAGTCACATGCAAATTTTAACACAATTAACTGTCAATTTTTTTGGGAGGTCTCAGTCAATACACACCCTTATTCATGGTTATTGGAATATTATAGTATTATTTCTACTGTATCGTGTGGGAATTCTTCCCACTCTTCCCAGAACATTCTTACCATAGTATTTAATATATGACAAGAGCTGAAAAAGTGTATCAAACCAAACTGGATGTACATGTTGTTTTCCCATTCAGATAGGACACTTATTACTTTATAGATGTCATGAATAGAAGGCAAAATTGATGATTCATTCCATCTTGTCTCCAATAGGAGGAAGGCATTCCCTACCAGTCCCTAGTTTCAAAGTGGTGAATCCCTGCTGCCAGCAGGCTTCTTCAGAAAAATCCATGGGTGACAGAAGATTCATTGACTTCCAGTTCCAAGATTTAAATTCAAGCCTCAGACCCAGGTTGGGCAATGCTACTGCCAATAATACTTGCATTGTTGATGATTCCTTTAAGTATAATCTGAATGGTGCTGTCTACAGTGTTGTATTCATTCTGGGTCTAATAACCAACAGTGCCTCTCTGTTTGTCTTCTGCTTCCGTATGAAAATGAGAAGTGAGACTGCTATTTTCATCACCAATCTGGCTCTTTCTGATTTGCTTTTTGTCTGTACTCTACCTTTCAAAATATTTTATAACTTCAACCGCCATTGGCCTTTTGGTGATACCCTCTGCAAGATATCTGGGACTGCATTTCTCACCAACATCTATGGAAGCATGCTATTCCTCACCTGTATTAGTGTGGATCGTTTCCTGGCCATTGTCTATCCTTTTCGATCTCGCACCATAAGGACCAGGCGGAATTCTGCCATTGTATGTGCTGGAGTCTGGATCCTAGTCCTCAGTGGTGGTATTTCAGCTTCTTTGTTCTCTACCACTAATGTCAACAATGCAACTACCACCTGTTTTGAGGGATTCTCTAAACGTATCTGGAAGACTTACCTGTCCAAGATCACCATATTTATTGAAGTTGTTGGGTTCATCATTCCCCTGATATTGAACGTCTCTTGCTCTTCTGTGGTGCTGAGAACTCTCCGTAAGCCTGCTACATTGTCTCAAATTGGGACTAATAAAAAGAAAGTGCTGAAGATGATCACAGTGCACATGGCAGTCTTTGTGGTATGCTTTGTACCTTACAACTCTGTTCTCTTCCTGTATGCCCTGGTGCGCTCCCAGGCCATTACTAATTGCTTGTTGGAAAGGTTTGCAAAGATAATGTACCCAATCACACTGTGCCTTGCAACTCTGAACTGTTGCTTTGACCCTTTCATCTATTATTTCACCCTTGAGTCCTTTCAGAAATCCTTCTACATCAATACCCATATCAGGATGGAATCCTTGTTTAAGACTGAGACACCTCTGACCACAAAGCCTTCGCTTCCAGCTATTCAAGAGGAAGTTAGTGATCAAACAAATAATGGTGGTGAACTAATGCTAGAATCCACATTCTAGGTACGAGAATTGTCTTCACATCCGGACATGGTTTCTCTTATGATATGTTTTTCCTATACTCTCGATAAGATTTTGAAGCTAATGATACTGAGAATAAATTAATGAACCAAATACAGTCGAATACATTTGTTTAAATGTGTATTGTATATATGCTGTTTTGTTCAGTAATTATAGGTCAAGTCTAATTACGACAACCAAAACAAACTCTTCTGCTGGATTGAAATTTCATTATTTTATTGTATCATGCTGTATAAGTGGCCAATGGCCCTGACTTTAATGATAGGGAGTTTACCTTTTCTTTTGTTTTTTTTTTCAATTTATATTTTAATGTTATTTGGTAATTGGGTTGGGCCTATAAATATAGAACAAATTCAGGGATTATTTCTAAAAAAATATTTTGTATTACTACTGACATACACTAGTAATTTTTCCTTTTTTGTCATTGAATTTATTTTAGCAGAAGAACATAATTTAACCTAACATTATTAAAAAGGAATGTATTGAATTAAAAAGAGTTGGGAAAATCTGTTATGTGAATTTTGAAAAGAAATTTTTGCATGAATATATGTGGGAAGAAGCAGAAAAGTTACAGGATTTACATATTTACAATCATAAACAGTGTCTTTTATTAAAAATTTATTTTCTTTACTATAATAAGATTTTCATATGAAATTTCAAAGTCAGAAAGCTGCTAAATGCAAGTATGTTGCCAGCAGGTGCAGAATGAGAAATCACATAAAACAACAAAATGTCAGTAAAAATTCCTCACTGCTTTTCTTAATATTTTCTATTATATTTCTTTTGGTAAACTGAGTTTTACAAAAATATTTATTCTCCATGTATAAACATTTAGAGCACAATGTAGCCAAAAGCTGCTGAATTTGTGCCCAGGTCGGGAGCAAACTGAAAATTAAAGAAGCAAAATAATAACAAATAATAAACAAAAGAACTTATTTAGATAAGCAATCAGTTTTAGGAGGGTAGATATGTATAAATTTAAAATATTTATTATGACTACATTTTGGAGTGTGATATAGCCAGAGTTGCTGAATTAGTGATCAAATTGTGCGAAGATTGTAAGGAAAAAACTATACAGAATCAATCCAATTGCACAAAATAACAAAACAGATAAAGAACACTAAAAAAGCAAACACAAGAAAGCCACCCAACAAACAGAAAAATTCTAACACACTAGTATTTTATTTATTTTTTGAAGTTCTATACACTTAAAAGTATTCAGTCATATATATGAAATTTCGGAGCACAGTGCAGCTGGAAATTTGATAAATTAGTGTCGAAGTCAGGAGTAAGACGAGATATATAACACACCCAAAAAATCCCTTACAAAGTGAGAACATAAAAATTTTAAGCAAGATAACAACATTTTAGTTTTGCATTTTTAAAGCATTTATAAAACATGCACAGTACTATAATTTGCACTTGGTGCTTTCAATCCAAATGCAGCTGGCAAGCTGCTGAACTGGCTCTTGAGGCAGGAGAAATTAAAAATATGTTATCTCAGAAAATAATATGGTATTTAGCTGAAACAGATATTTAAAAAGCTACAAAAGAACAGAAAACATTTTTAGTAAAATTTAAAAATTCTGAAAACTGCTACGATTTTGGGGTGGAGTGTAAATTTAAGAATATTAACATTTGTAAGTAAGAAAAAATGTAGTTTAAAAAATACTGCATTTGTGCTCAGGTCAGAAGCAAAGGAAATAAAAACTATCACATGTGCACATGGAAGAAAAAAACAGAACCCACACTAATTTAAAGAACCTGAAAAACAGCAAAAACTATTGAAATGTGCACTGTTCCATTTTAAAAATATTTGGATGATATAATAATAATAAAATCCTAAGAATTTTCAACTGAAGTGTCCAGGAATAATGCATTTTTTAAAATGCTGAATTTGTGCCAGAAAGTGATTAAACAACTTTTGAAAAGTAAAAGTACTAAAATAATAAAGGAGTTCCTAAAATTCATAAGCCTTTGGTTTTCTTTCTCATGATAAGGCTTTAAAGTATTGAGATTTTAAAGTAAAAGTTTATAAACATAATGTAACTTTAAAAACTGCCTGGGTTAGGAAGTAATTGAAAAAAAATGGTAGACAATAGAACAATAGTAAAAATGAATTCTGAAAACTGGCACTACGTTTTCATCATGATTTCAAGTCCTAAAAATAACCATGCACTATATTGTCTGGAGAAGAAAGCTTCTTAATGGAATACATGTGACATTAAATTCAGATAGATGAAATTAGCTTGGTAGGTTAAGTTTGGTTTTAGGTTATATTCTCAAATGAAATTAGTAATTACAATATGAATAATCTTTGTTTCCTTTGATATTTTTCTTTTCCACTTTGTGTAATTATAAATTATATGTGACCTTTTGTTTGTGTACTTGGTTCTTGAAATAAAACCGATAGGATAATACAGCAAAGCATTTAATGGGATATGTTAACCAAGTTGGCATAAAATGTATCATAAAGTCAATTTTCTTTTATGTAATTTTCATCTCTAGTTTTAATTTTTCATATTTCACTTTCTTTTAGCTGATTTTCATTTTATGGTTAATATAACTTGCTAATAATAAAAAACTTGTCATATGAACAGTGTAAGCAACAAAATGTGTAACGGAGTATAAATTGACTGTTTTACATTTTAAAGCAAAAGCAATTCATCTATGATTACAATTTAGATTTCAAATGCTTATTAAATATAATAAAATGTATTTGAATTATCAGCAGTTACGCTGTGGTCAATTATTTATTCATTATTTTTTATTTGTGGACATTCACAGGTATCTCTCTTTTATGTTCCCATCCTCCTCCAAAAAAGTGTTTATTAGAATATAGTATCTAATCAATTCTGATACTTTGGTTTGAGACTAGTGCAGAATTGGCAAATGAAAAATCCCTGGGTGGCTTTTTGTGGAGCAAAATAAAATATTAATCACATCATTCATCGTTTTTTTTTTTTTGTAAATTAGCTTTGATCTATTTTTTATTTATTTTTAAAAATTTTTAAGAATATTTTACTCCTTTTTATTATCATTCTATGATACAGTTCCATAGATTATGAAATTTCCCTTATCCCCCCATTCCCTCACCTCTCACTGAGTTCCCCTGTATTATTGCTATAGTATAGTTCTTCATATACAGTCATATGTCCATCATTGTGGGCATGGACAGCGGCAGAGAGTCTAGCAGCCTATTGTCAAGATACAGTAAACAGTTTTATTGGGAATCCATCTTTGTCTGGAAGTAGAAATGCATACTGCATTGTATCCTCACATCTGGATATGATAGTCTCTATTATACAGTTACTATACATCCCCTTTAATGAAAAGCCACAAAACAAAATCAATAACAGGACGACAAAAAAAAAAAAAAGAAATTAACAACACCATGAGGTTAAATAACATGCTACTGAATGACTAACGTGTAACTGAAAAAAATGAAAAAGAAAATCAAGAACCTTCTTGAAGAAAATGATGTACTGTATGATCTGAGTCATTGAAGAATTTAATAAGAAGAAAGTGTTTTGAAGCAATGAAACTAACAAAAAAAAAACAAAATTCATGAGATATAGTTTCCGCTGATCTTTGTTGGTGATATGTGTCTCCTGTAGGCAACAAATAGTTGGGTTTTGTTTTTTAATCCAGTCTATTATTCTATGACGTTTGATTGATGCGTTTAAGCCATTTACATTCAGGGTTAATATAAAAGGGTGGTAATTTGGTTCTGTCATTTTAGCAATGGATTATTCATCGATTTAGTCTTCTATTGTTCTTTTACTGGGATGTTCTCTTTCAGAATCATTTGTAGGGCAGGTTTAAAAGAGACGTATTCTTTTAATTTTTCTTTACTCTGCAAGAATTTTATTTCATTTTTAAAGACAAAGGAAAGTTTTTCTAGGTACATTATCCTGGGCCAGCAATTTTTCACGTTTAGAATCTGGAGTATTTCTCTTCATCCTCTTCTGGCTTGTAGAGATTCCTGTGAGAGGTCTCCTTTGAGTTTAATTGGCATTCCTTTATATGTCAGTTGATTTTTTTCCACATGCACATTTAAGGATCTTTTTCTTATGTTTGACTGAAGAGAACTTGATTATCATGTGTCTTGGTGAAGACCGCTTTTGGTTAAGCCTGTTGGGAGTCTGTGCCCCTCCTGGATGTTGGTTCCCAATTCTTTCTCTAGATGAGGGAAATTTTCCCTTATTATTTCATTAAACATATTTGTAAACCCAGCTTCTCTTTCTGCAACTTCTGCGACTCCCATAACTCTTATATTTGGCCTCTTAATAGTGTCTTTCAATTCTTGAATACTTTTTTTTTTTAACCTGATCCATCTCTGCTTCCAGCTTTTTGTTTGTTTCCTCCTGGTAATGGGGATATATCTTCTACATTTGAGATTCTTTCTTCTGCTTGCTTCATTCTATTTTGGAGACTCTCCGCTGTACTTTTAGTTTGCTCCACTGTATCCTTCATTTCTGATATATCAGCTTTCATTAATTTCATTTCCAGTGTGACATATTCCTTAAATTCCTTGAGTGCTTGCTTTACATGCTTTTCATTGTTGATAAGTTTTATAACATGTGTTCTGAATTCTGTATCCCCCATTTTCTTGATGACTTCCTCAGTGAACTCTGAGATTGGCAAGAGGTTTTGCTCCTTTGCAGGGGAGTCGTCATTAACAACTGGGAGGCCTGGGAAAATCAGGATGTTGGTAACATAGCAGCACAGCTAGATGAATACCTACAACAATATCTTGATCAATACTTAGAACAGGTTGAGGAGTCCCAGGTTGGTAATACAGGAGATTTCAAGTGGTCAGATACACAACTGTAACTCTCAGAGAAAACTGCTTTATGCTTTGATTTCCAAGGAAATGACAGCAAACACTGCCTGATCTGAAATTGTGAAGTGAATAGCTACATTTAAAATGAGAAGAACTTTGCCATTAATTACCTTCTTTAGTAGGTCCTCAGAAACAATCATTTGTTTCACGTACCTTTTTCTCTGCCT